ATCTGCATTCTTCTTTTTTTTTTTTTTTTTTTTTTAATCTGAGCTCTTGGCAGAGCTTGTTCACAATATCTGAATGGATCATCTAAATGTTTTAAGATCTGGTGTTAGGCTGGGAGTCTGGTCATATTTGGTGAAAAGCTCAGGAACAGTAATTGTGGTTGGTACCTTCGTTTCTGTTATCAGTTTTCCTTGGGGTGGCCCATTTATACCATCATAAAATTAACAATGAGAGGGCAACCTTGTTGATGCTGTACTTGTAATTATCCAGATTTAATTCTGATGTGCAGCTATTCAGAGCAACTACAGTAATTTGTGGGTATACCGTAGTTATTTGGTAGATAGGAATCCAAACTTGAACTGTACATCCAACCACATGTTGGGGTAACCCTGCCTAGATGTCCTTAAATAATTACAAGGGGAACACCAACTAGAAAAACGGGTTCTCTTACAAGAGAATCTTTACCATAGCTCAAAACATTCAGTATGTGTGAGTCCATTCATGAAATCACCGCAGTCAGACATGCTGCATGACAGCTCAGTCCACTAAACTCTTCTTCTCAGTCAAAGTCTTTTCCTCCAGGAACCACATAAAGGGGAAAATCCAGAATGGAACACTTGATGTAGGACTAATCCTTGCCATGGATAACAGCACCACCGCAGGCGCCTAGCATGTGCATCTGCAGAGCTAAGACCAAAGGCAGATTTCACTCAACTATTGGCACTAATGTTGATCATGTGCTACTTAGGCCACTTGATGGAGTGGGTAGCTCTGGCTGGTAAGTGTGCATTTGTCCATAAGTATGCCTGGCTTGGGGAGAAATCTATTTTTAGGTTGTGTTAAAGGACGCCTTTTTACTCATTGCCAATTTATAGAAGACAGTAATATAAAAAGAGACAACAATATAATTGTGTAAAGTCTCCAATTAATCTAGCCTGCATGTCTAACCTGCGGTAGGAAGCTGGAGCACCAAGAGGAAAACCACATTAGGACAGCAAGATCATGGAAACTGGAAACACAGAAAGGCCCTAAATGGTGTAGAGTTCAAATCCAAACATAGCTGTTACTCTATTTCAATTTAACTTACTTGTGGGATATCAGCCTTATTTATTTTCTTAAAAAAAATGCTCTCTTAAATGAATAGTCATGCTTTCACTGTAAGAAACAGGGTCCGTTCTGTAAACAAAAGTACATTTTTTCCATAACATATAAAATTAGGAAAGGAAAGCTGGCTTTATGAGGCAAGAGAGCTGACCTGTCTAAACTCTGTTTAGACAAAATGATTTTATCCATCCATCCAACCATCTTCTTTCTTTTCTTTTTTTTTTAACCACTTATCAGTGTCTGGGTTGTAGGACTAGCAAATTCCCTCTCCCTGGCCACCAAGGTGTTCCAAAGCCAGTGGACAGACTTAATCTAGCATGTCATGAGCCTGCACTGGGATCTCATCCCAGTTTGACATGCCTGAAACGCATCACCTAGAAGGCATTCTGGTTATATCCCCAAACAACCTCAGTGGAACAACCTCTGCATAAAAAGGATGTAGCAGCACTACTGTCAACCTCTCCTCAATGACTGAGCTCCTCACCCTACTACCGAGGTTGAGCACACACAGACATCAGAGGAAGCACATTTCTGCCACTTCTATCTGCCTCCTTATTTCTTTGGTCACTATACCACTGCATGTAGAGAAACCAGTAAATGGACAGCTTTACCTTTGTGTACCAGTTTATTGATTTGGACTGGCACAGCCACAGCAGCTGTAAGTCTCCAACTCCACTTGCGAACAAAAACTTTAGATACTTAAACTCATTAACTCGGGGCAGCAACTCATTGCCAGCAAAGATTGAATAAACCGTCTTACGCCAGAGAACCGTGGACTCGGAATTTAAAGTGCAAACACATTGTATGAAATGCCAAAATAAAATATTTCAGATCTTAACTTGAGAAATATTGTTGCAGGTAGGTTATGGCTATACACGGCAATACTGCACAAATACTGACATTTATTGTTTTAACAATTGGCTGAAATTAGGTGAAATGATTGATCAAATGGTTATAATAAATCAGACAGCAAAAACAATATCAAAGTGCTACGTATGTCTTCAATATGTACTAAGATGTATATAAGTGATATGTGGTACTTCTGCAAGTATTGTAAATAATGGGGTCAGAGTAGCCCTGTGGCAAAAACTAACACCCCAAGCTGGTCATTGCTGTAGCAACACTTGGATGTTGCCTTTATGATGTGACGAGCTATTGCCAAGTCACCCTTATTAGATTCTACATGACGGGGAATGTGGTGAATGCTCTAAATTAATAGAAAAATTAAATACACTCACTGAATCTGTGCAAGACAGCCAGGGGCCAGGATACTCTTGGAGTGAGGGGTTTTATGCAGACTTGTGAGCTCCAGCATGTCCACCTGCACGTCTGTCACATGACCCGGTAAGAGTTTTAGCATAGTCAAAACTTTCTCTACTAGGTTGTCACCATGATGACCAACAGCCCCTGTAAATGAATAAATTTGGGATTTAAAACAAGAACAAATATGTGTTGAGTATGTAGCAGCAGTCATTGGTAACGCAACAAAAATATGTGCCTTCTATACCAGATAAAAGGTAAGCAATTCATTTTCCCAAGGAGCCACAAAGAAAACTGGGACTGTTGTGGAAGGCCACATCAATAAGCTGAACATTTCCTGGCTGCTTGGGTTACTTGGTGTAATAGGTAGCTCTGGCTGGTGAGTGTACTGTTGTACATATGTATGTTGGTCTTGGGGAGAAAAGTATGGAAAAATATATGTGCATCAGAGGACAACTTGATATAAATATTCGTTGGGAGGTGGCTAAGGTAATATCTGCAGTGCTCTGCAATAACTAATCTCATCGTGGGTGGTATTTAATTTTAATGATTGCCAAATTACAGAAGACAGGAATGTAAAAAGAGGCAACAATATAAATGTGTACTCAGAAAGACAGAAAGATCATAGAAACTCGACACAGAAAGTTCCCAATTGGTGGGGATGCTCAAACCAAAGCATCTGTTATTCTTCTTTAATTTCAATTTATCTATAGGATATCAACCTAATTTGTGAGGAATTTTTTTTCTTTTTACATTTTTAAATTACATTTTCTCTTTTACATGACGAATCATATGCTTTCACAGAAGAAAGAGGCTGCTGCCAGTAAACAAAAGTATATCCACCAATCAGGCATAACATTATGACCACCTGTCTAACATTGTGTTGGTTCCCCTTTTCTTGCCAAAATGGCCCTGACCCATCAAGGCATGGTCTGCACTAGACCCCTGAAGTTGTGCTGTGGTATCTGGCACAAAGATATTAGCAACAGACAGTTTAAATTCTGTAAGTTTTGAGGTGGGCCTACATAAATCAAACTTGTTTGTCCAGCAGATCCAACAGATGTTTTAGTGGACTGAGCTCTGGGGAAGCCAAGTCAACATCTCAAACCTGTTGTTGTGCTCCTCAAACCATTCCTAAACCAGTTTTGCTTTGTGGCAGGGCTCGATATCCTGCTGAAAGAGTCCACAGCCATGATAGAATACAGTTTCCTTGAAAGGATGTACATGGTCTGCAACAATGCTTATAAGTGGTGCACATCAAACTAACATCTAAATGGACGGCAGGACCCAAGGTTTCCCAGCCGGGTAAAGCATCACATTGCCTCCATTGGCTTTCCTTATTCCCAATGTGCATTCTGGTTCCAGGTGTCCTCCAGCTAAATGACCCCCACACACCAAGCCAGGCAAGTGAAGGTAAAGGTGATTCATTAGACCCATCTAAACTTTCTTTAGATGAAACCCTCTTGGGAAAATGAACTGCTTATCTTTATGCTAGACATTTACTTGACTCTTACCACTGTCATTGTTATGATTCTGGTGTGATTGGGCTTATGCAGCATGCAGAAAGGTCAAACACAACATGGTCACAAATATTACCTGTAAGATCCATCGTTCGGTCTACAAAGATGATTGATGCTTTATTAGGGGCTGTCTTCCTTCGGTTTTTTGCTTGAGGAAGATTGGCGAGTTCCCCTGCTATGATGCGGCTCATTGGACCCAGAGCAAAACTCTCCTCTCTCGTACCTGTAGCCTCAAACATTGAATTTAACGCTGAAGCTAAGGATTTGACTTCAATTTGCAGTTCAGCAGGGAGACAGTGCATGTCTATATCATTCAGGCTTGCAAATCTTCTCTTCTCTGGTCGTTTTTCATTGATGGCCTCCAGGTCTGGCGAGAGAAGAGGGAACAGGTGCGCAAACGGGGGTGCAACTATTAACTGCTGTGACACAGGGGCGAAGACAACTGGAACATGCATGACCTCCGCCGTGTAGTTCATATTTCCCATCCACTCGCACAATTTCTCTTCAAACTGCTCGAACACAGGGCTTCCTTCCATTTCTGTCGTAACTTTGTTGACGAGCAGGTGCACGGAGTGAGCAACGGTGGTAAAGACAACGCAGTACTGAAAGTGACTGAGGGATATGATGTCTTTAATAATGTCAACTGTCCTCCCTTTCAACAGTGTGCTGACCACAAACACGGCTTTAGGCTCATTGACACCGCACGCTTCGAAACTCGAAAACTGCTTTAAATTCCTGGCTCCAGCTTCCAATAACGTGGCAGCTCCTCCACTCCAGTGGAGAGCCTCTGCACATTTGTCATCCATGAAAACAACCGATTTCTTTACCTTCGACAGCACCTTCTCCCACATCAAGAGGGGGAATCGCGTAAACTCCTCAGTCGCCAACATTTTCCTAGTTACGTGTATCAGCTAAATTCACCGAAATCAAAGACACATCAGCAATTTCAGCTTAAGTAGCTCCAACAAAACAAACACACGTCTCTTAAAGGTGACGTGGCGCTAGCCCGTCGCTTCATTAAAACGTCACCCAAACGTCGTTGCTATGACAATAAGCAGTATCCCGAGAACAATCGTTACAGAGTTAATAAAGGAAAACTTTTTATGCAATATTCTCACGAAGTATCTAGACTTTCACTACCATAACCAAGAACGACAAGAGCTAAAAGGGGGAGGATCCAGCGGGTAAATTTAATCTCAAAAATTATGTTAAACATGTGAAGTTTAATTTGTCTTGATGGATTTTAAGCTAATTGAAATTAGTTATGGCGATTTGTTGACACGAGCTTCCTTCATTAAAAAACGAATTTAAATGACAGTTGGCACAAACAATTAGACCCCTAAAAATGTTTAATGCTTAGAGTTATGAGTTCCTCTTTATATTTGTCAATATAAAGAGGAACTATAAAGAGTAATATTGGTCTCAGGAGGTTATTACATCACTTCCCCCAGCGTTTAACGGAAAGATACCATAGCTTAGTTTAAAGAGGCCAGCTGTTTCTTCTGTTTTCAATAGAGCCACTTTGATTTTAATGTGCCTCCAAGTTCCTTGTTTTAGGGGTATATGACATGAACGCCACAGATGACCGACACGAGATACAAAGGGTTGGACTCTCACCCAGGTGTGTAGCCAGTGCCTTAAATAAATAAGTGTTCAAATTTACAGTTGTGTACAGCCATTGTTCTGGCATTGCGCGTGTATATATATATATATATGCATATATGTATATAAGGCGTAGTGGTACTCACTGGACCAGTAAGGGTCCCCACGCTAACCAAGCCGGGGACCCTTTATATGTCAAGACAATATTCTAAATAATAAAAAAAATATACATGAAATGTTGTTTAACTTAAGTTAAACCACTAAAAACTAAAGAAAACAATTCAATACAAAAGAATACAAAATTATTGAAAGTTACAAAGCAATATTAATTTTGTTGTGATGAATTAGAAGGAGTTAGATACTCGTCTCACAGGCCGTAAATTGCAGTGAGCAGTAGACAAATTGAAAATAAACTGTAATGGCATGATTATTTCCAACAGTATTATACTAATGAAGCGTTCAGGTATAATACAGTTTTCACAGTACGATAATGACATTATAGTTGCACAATACATGTGACGGCACCTTGTGTGCTGCCCGAAATGTGCAGTCAGTCATGTCGAGCATTAAAAAGAATTTGATGCTCATTAACTCGCTGTCAGGCGAGAGGGATTTGTTTGTGAGCTGGGAAATGGGGATGTTAGCAATCATACAACTGGAGCCCTGATTTTTTTTTTTTTGTATGTTTACGCCAGCCTTTATGCCTCAGAATAAATGTAGCATAACATGCCAATTACAGTTAGTGACTGTAAAGGATACTAAGGATTAAACAATGTTGTTTTTTGGGCGGGATAGTTTAGTTGTTTTTGCATTTGGGAATTTGTGATTGAAATCATGCAAGCAATTTAAAGAACAACAGTGTCACTTACGTTGATCAGTGCCTAATGGAAAAAAATACCCACATGAAAAACCTGAACGTGAATAGACATGGTTAAATGCCATTTTTCACTTGTACCCATCAAGGTTTAGTGTTCTTGCAGTAATGTAAAATCATTCTGACAATTATCTGTATGAGTGGAAATTCTTTTCTATTTTGATGATTTGATATTATTTTCATCCCTTTCTTTTGTTTATGGGACAATTTGAAAGCTGTCCAAGATGATAATGACATATTATTTTGAATTTTTCCAGCTTTTTATTGTGTTTTTGTAGCTGTTAGGTATGTTATGAATGGGCCTTATTTGTCAAAAACCCCCTTCTGTCAAAAATTTGCTTTGAGATATTTTCATAGTGTTTAAGTTAACGCGTTGTGTCATCAGCACTCAACCCAGACAGAAGTGTTTCTTTCTGTTATTTAAAGTTACTAATGATGATGATAGAGATAACAGTGGTGATGATGTGAGGGCCTCCTTATTTCTTGCAGTACATTTATGCATCTTCGAAGGACACAACATGTAGGTGGTGAGTAGTGACAACCCTTTTGAGATTTTTGGGCAACACAAATGACAGTGAAACATTAAACAAAACAGCCACACAAAGACCAGGCTTTATTGTAAACTTGGTTTAAGAAATAAGAAGACTATAAGATATAAATGTCTTATATCAGTTAACTGATATGCATTCAGCTTCCAAAGACACACAGTGACTATATTTCTCCTCAGAGTCAGCCAAGAATTTAAATATAGAATTTTACAGTGAAAACTATCAGCCTATTAGAGAACCCAGTGACCATTTGACATTTAAAAAAGTACACTTTCAGTCATTTTACACATGTTCATAATTAGTTCACATACATTGAGAATGTCAGCTTCATTACTGCAAATCAGCTGACTTAACTCAGATCTTTATGATTTAAAATATTCCTTATTGAAAATAAATGAGAAATGACGATATATGTGACAAATATATGAAATATATGTGACATCATTATGTCTGCATTGGGATGATTTACAGGTACTACAAATGACCTATTGTTAGAAAAAGTCCAAGGAAATGAAGAAATTAACCAGAAAGTAGAGTTTTTGGAGAAAAAGCCATGGAGAGAAGCTGGTAAGTATTGTTGTTTGACCTGACACATCAATGAGATTCTTGTATGCATTCAGTAATTACATTCAGACCTATTCATTACCATTTAGTGTTTTTATTTTAGGTGCTAACATCTCAGATTACTTTAACTATGGTTTTGATGAAGAAAGCTGGAATGCTTACTGTAGGAAACAAGCAAAACTTCATGGCATGATAAGAAAGGTAAATGCTAAAGACATGGTAAGATAATGCTATCACTAATGTGATTTAGTCAGCCTTCTTTTTAAAGAGACCCTTCACTTAAACAGGAGAACATAGTTAGGAATAATAAATCAGACTGAAACTTGAGAAATTGTTATTCTGCTCAGGCCCAGAAGAGGCACACTGGATATGAAGAAGAGGAGGTGTTTTGTGCTTATTCTTCCCCAGGCAGACCATCTATTGTAGCTTTCAGGTCAGTAATATGTCTTCTCCATACTGTTATATTTTGTGCCTTCAGTCCTACACCCTCTATCCCATTCTATGCTACTGCTCTGAGCTCAGAGCCAGAAGAAGCTGGCAGCTGGTTTTTTCTGTTTGTTTGTGACACGGCAACTATCTGCCTGATGCCATCTGTTTTCTGTGATCCTAAGATGTGCTCAGCATATTAGGGTTGTTTTGGCAAGGGATTGCAAAATGTTGAGGTAAACACAGACTTATGTTCATCTGTTAAAGCCCAAGGCAAAATTTCATCGAAGGTTAAAGCTTTTTAAAAAATTTTTAGGCTTTGTGCCATTCTTTTTCCCGTATTTATATTTCATACATTTATGATTTATCTGCTAACAACAGTGACACCACGTTGTGATCATAGCTTGTCTTGGGCACAAGTCAATGCTTATTTACAGTTGTGCTTTACTTGAGCAGAGTAAAAGGTTTAAGCAGAGACTATTTAAATCACTTTTGTTCATTTGAAGATAAGAAGACTTATCTGAACACAAAATAACTGTGGTAACATTCATAGGCCAATTGGAGTCAGGAAAAACCCTGATTAGTATTTCCATTTTAGGTTTTTTAATGTAATCCGATGCCAGCAGAAATTAATGCAGATTTTTACTCCAACTTTAACAGCCGCTGTAGTTTTAGTTAAAAATTGTAGTAATTCATTAGAATTTAGTGTAATAAATATATAATTGTAGAACTGATTAGGCGAATAGCGTCTCTGTTTACTGTATACTGTTCTTTTGATACATTAGATGATTTAGGCACTGCTGGTACATTTACAAAATGGATGAGCTGGAGGTGCCATCCATCAGTGTGGGAGCATTGGACTTTTAGATGACACTGAATTTGTGGATCGAGACAATAGAAAAAAAAAAGAGATTTTCAGCTTTCTGTAAATGACCTCCTCTGTTGCTATTCCAGGAGTGTAGCGGTGTGTTTTTCCAAGCCATGACTCACTAATGAAAAATGCTGCAGACAAGTGAAAATATAAAAGGTTTGGCATTTTGACGTCACAGTTTGCGATTGCAGCGACCAATTCATCAAACATAAGTAGATTGGGCTTTATAACCCAGTTAGTGCCAAATCTTTATGTGTAGACAAGTATGTTTTTCCTGCAAAGAGATATTTTTGGTGCATTGCTAAACAGATTTCAATTAAAAATTTTAACAAATCCTGTTAATTTGGTTTTGATTTATTCGAGGTCATAAATAACACTGTGAACAGACCTCTGTCAAATAGGGTAACACAGTTGCAGGGGTTTTGCTTTATGGATGGATTGTGCTTAGATGCATAGTAAGTCATCAACGAATCAAAAAAAAATTGTGTACACACTCATGAGGGGCCTGTTTTTTTTTTTTTAATGCTAGGAAAAAACATTCACTCTCAGCAAGCACTTTGCAGCTATTTATAAAACCATGCTTTCAGCCATTGAGTGAAGCTGTCCCATGCAAAACAGGTTCTTTACCACTGCTTCTATTCATTTACTTTAATGGTGGTTAAGATGTCTGTTGGATGCCTTGACCATCATCTGAGACTGACTGACAGAAATGGCCAGCCAGTTTAAGATCTGTCCTACTTGATGTCATTGTTCTCCATCGGCAAGTTTACCCTTAGGAGGAGGACACAGATCTGAGTCATGTGTGTGTCATGTCTCTCTCCCTATGTGACAGCGATTGACCAAACAGTAGACCATCTTTATTCAAAGAGGGTCTACTGTTTGGTTAAGGAATTTACTAGTGTGTTACATGATAATGTAGTAAAGATTTTGGTTTGTTTTTGTGCAGCTCAGGTCAAAAGTGTTTGTGTTCTCAGATCTGGAGCAAAGAGACATTAAGGAGCTGCAGGCACTTCCCTATTGAGTTGCCATTAGATGTAGACGTTTTTACTTTTTTATGTATGCTTTTCTCTACTGTTGATAAAGTCCTTGTGACAGAAGCGGGTTAACATTCCGCTTGTGTGTGTATGTGTGTGTATGAGCTCACTTGGGGTGAGTGTAGCAGGGTTTAGGGCTGTAAAGGGCTGTTTTGTGAAGATGGCAAGATGACCCAGATAAGGAGGTTTAATGCGTTAATGGACCTGCAGGGGGTTTAAGTAAGGACATTGAAAGTGACATTAGGATAAATGAATGTCCTGTTTTTAAAAATGTTATATAAGTGCACATCAGCACCACATTAAAAAGAAGGATTTATGTATGAGAACCCCCACTTGCCTTTTTTAGGACATTATCAAAACATTGTATGTATTTGTACAGTCTTTATCATATTACCTGATCAACAGAGATTCAGATCCTATCACTAATTTGGCTGGAGGACAACCTGAATCCAGCAGAGAGGATGGGCACCAATGTCATAATGATGGAGGCAGCAACACTCAGGTATTATGTTAGTATGGGTTTAATAAGGATGGGCACCAATGCAGGAGGACCTGAAATGATCAGTCTCGGAAGCTATAATTAAACCTTGCATGAACCAACCTGCAGACAATTGATTGAACTATGGGAATTTCAATTAACATAGCATTTTTATTGTGTTCCGCACAGAATTTTTGTAAAAAAGAACTATATGTGTATTAAGCTACTGGTTCAGCCTACAACTTTATTGTTGATAGTTTGTCGCTGTCATTTTTTTAAATGAGATTTCTTTTTATTGTTGTCATAAATAACAGTAACTATCTTTATTTTTCAGGTTGTTTGTGAGATGTGCCATTATGAGGACAGCAGTAATGCTAATCAGCTGCCACCTCCACTCAGCAAGAACTCTTTCTTTAAATTTATTAAAAAGAGAGTTCCACCACGTAAGTCACTCTGCTATTGGAATGCAACACATTTACTTATATTAATGCTTATTTACTATATTTACAAAACTATTTGAGAAAGGTTCTTGTATGTTCTTTTTCATGTGACATGATGATTATGAACATGTGAGTTATCTGCGGGAGAATATTTAGATTTAATACTAAGATTTTCAGATGTTAAGGCCCCAAAGAGAACCCTCTGTTGGACACATCATGCATCATGCAGCTGCACAAATGACTAATAGCAATCAGACCATGTGTTTGTGAAGCTGCAACACGTGTCATAATAAATTATCCTGTGGAGTTGAAGGACAGAGGTGAACTTAGCTGTGTGTATACGTGTGTATCTCTGCACCTGCCTGCATGTGTTTGAAGGCATTGTATGGATATATGTCTTCCTGCAGTCAGGTATCTAGTGCTGTCCAGGTGGGAGTCCATCAGTCTTTAGACTTCCTCTTAGTCTTTGTAGTGAATCATATTGAAATCCAGGAAGGCTCCCTGGCGCAAGCACACAGCTGAGCACATGCCATATCTTCATCTTCAAAGGCTCTGAAATAGAAATGCTGGCTTAGGCCTGCTTGCCCCTTACCCTCTGAGCCCCATACTGCACAGCAAAACCCGTGCCAGAGCCACTAATACAACCAAAATATCAAACATCCTACCGGCACCAGCTTTGAAGTTATATGCATAGCTTTAATGCCGACCACTCCCCTTTCTTTAAGTTATAGGCCCTGCCTCCTTGTGTGAGGCAAATGTGTAGCATGATAAAAATAGCCCCTGGTAAAAAAAAGAAAAAAGTTGCTGGGTCTGCAGATTGAGGCACGAGAAAAGTGCTGAACAGACCCAACTGTGGGGAATAGGGCAGAGGAAAAGAAGGGGCTGTTTTAATTTTTGGTTTGTTTTTCAGTAAGGTCACATTAGATGCCAAGTGTTTTTCATAGGTGCACATTTTGGAGTGGAGCTGTGTCATTACAGGGTTGTACTTGTGTCATCTATCAGTGCAGCACAGTGAAGGTGATGCTGCCTGCTGCTGTGCACTGCAGCTAATCTTCCATACAGCTGGTTACTGGGTCACTATAATCACTGTAGCAACAGAGCTTGTATGTGAATGTCCTCGCTGACTGAACTGAGCAGATTTTTAAATTCTTTTAAAAAACTGACTATGCAAGTAAATGCCCCGTGATGAACAATCAGAGCAACATTAGGACTATTACCAATAAGATTTTTAAAAAAAATGCTTTTTTAACCTTATAATTTTTTTGTTTTGTTTTGATTCATAACATAAAAAAAAATCTGTGCCCTGTATTGATTTCCAGCTTTAGAGTGGAGAATGCTAGTTTTCTTGTAAAGAGCTGATGGCTGTGCTTTTAACAGGTGACAGTGTAATGACAGGATGCTGTCACTGCAAGAAGATTTATGCACATCTGTCCTTGCAGATTGCTGCATCTGAGAGTATGGGAGACAGTAGCCTTTACACTAACAAAGATCACTTGGGCCTGTGCTGCAGTGCAGAACAGCAGCCAGTTGTCCCATGTGAAATATCAGCTCCATCTAAAACACTGCAGCCTGTAGCTCTGTAAAGCATTAGCACGAGACTCAAAACCACGCAAAAACAATCAGATGCAATTAGCCCTCAGCCATTTGCTCTCTCATATGCTGCCAAGCATGCAACTCTAGCCTCCATCAAACACTCACTTGAGATCACCACAGGTAAAAACAATTACTCACTCACGCTAACCTTGATGGCATGTTTATGGACAAGCTGCTGTGTACTTTGTGCATCTGCTTGTGTATACAGTATGCATTGCATAGCATTCCATTAGCAAAGTTACTAATACTGCCAATCACATTTTACAATCCACTTAGATTTTCTGTAGTATAATTCATTCTACAAACTCTTTGTGATGTCTCATGCAGTGACCTCATCTATTTGCAGTAATGAGAGCTTGTCGCAGATGTTTTTTTAATGCTGCACTCTTCATGTTCCTGATTATTCACATCATGGAATCACATTAAAGGGAATTACCTGAAGACCCTCCAGGCTACACTCTCAGACTTCGATGTCTTGAATTTTGAGAAGTTTGTACGTGTATGTTAAATTCTGCTCTTTTCTTTGGGTGTCCAGGTGTCTCAAGTATCAAAAACCGCACTCCCCCATGAGCACTTCGGGCCATCTCAACTCTGTGGAACTTGTATTTGAAAGGGAAAAAACAGTGTTTTAGATTTATTCACAGGACGGCATCTTGATGTTCTTTTCAAATTCAGGCAGCTCATATGTACAGCACACATAGCAGCTCATATTATTCTTCCTCCTGCTTCAACCAAGCTGTTTCTAGCCACTCTCACGTTAGGGGTCTTTAAAAAAAAAGTAGGAGATGGTATCCAGATGTGAATGTGTGCTTGTGCCTTGAGTCTTCAAAGGAATCTCTCTATATATGTGTGCTTGTATGTGTGTCTTTATGTGTACACACATTGGCTCCGTACAGCAAGTGTGAGAGCTGATTTTGCAGCTTGGTCACGTAAAATTTGAGCATTATAACAAGTGGGTCCATTAAGTGTGCACTCAAGCATTTGACTTGTTCTGTTTTATTGATGGAGGAAAAGGCAAGTAGCACTTGCTACATTTTGTTGCACTGACATTTTGAGGCTGATCTAATTTCTTAAGATTAAAAGATGCAGCACTATAAATTATGAATGCATGTTCCTGGTAATGGGTTATATTTTTTCATATTCTTTTATATTGTTTCTGTTATTTGTCTTGTGTTTCTGTTATTTGTTGCTATATTAATAATAACAAAACATCTTCTCACGTTTAATGTGTGATTTTAGACTATTTCTGTTTCCATTTGATTAAAATATTTGGCCTGTGTTGGACAAAATCTGCATTTGGAATATGTATAATATTCTAAACCTTCTAAACTGTTAAGGGGTACAACCTTTAATATGCAGCTTTTTCGTGAATTTTCATGCAATAATTAAATAATTATTTTCTTTGCTCTAATTAAAGCAGCAAATTATTGTGGGTATATTATTATTTCCCTTTTGAGGTTGAATGTAGTTACGGTATTAAAATCTTTTTTTTTTTTTGGAATTTCAGTATTACTGAAGAGAACAATAGATAACTTTGCTGTCTTCTTTTCCTGCTCAGGTCCCCAACCTCCCTCCTCTACTGCTACTGCGGTCAGGTGAGCCCTATAATGTGTCTATCTTTATGCATCAGTTGTAGGTCAGCTCTATATGTAATGACCGTAATGAGGAGAAACTGAAGGTTACTGTGTCAGTGAAAAAGTGAAAACCGGACTCCCTCACAAATTCAGCAAATGTGCAGGGAGGGAAAGAAAAATGTTACTCAGAGACTGGACTAGAAATCATTAGTCAAGCGATTATTACGTTAGTGTGAAAGGAAGTAACTCAAAAGTTTGATAAAACAACTTCTGAAACAGACCAGGTGTCTCTAGTTAGACTCTAAAGATCAACTTGGATTGGGGTTTCTTTTCTGTACACCATGCACTGTTGCTCATCTTCCAACTGAATCAATGGCCATATAAGGTAGAAAGCAAGATAGCAACCTTGTTTGTTCCTCCAGTCTCCTGTTTATCAGTATTCCAGGCACCCCCTCCACTCTGCTTTTCCGATCTATGTCACAACCTGTCTGCAAACTCCCACATTTCAGCAGTAATTTACACAACTTAGATCACAAGTGGGCCACGTTGTACCCAAGGCTCTCTTGCATTTTCTTACACGTTAATGAATGCAGCCCTACTCCATTTGTGTTTGCTGCTGTGCTTGTTTCACTTGGATGCTGTCTGTATCCAGCCTTCCTGAGTCCAGCTCTGTTTGTCTGTCTCACTAGCTTCCTGTTCCTTCATCTTTTCTCTCTTTTCTCATTCCTATTTTTTCCCTTCCCCTAATTTGCTGTGTCTGATGTGTGCCTAAATGTGCTCAGTACTTTGTCCATAAAGATGGTTTTTCTCACATCTCAGTCCATCTGCCAAATCCTCACATCCTTCAGGGACTTACTGTTCCTATGAACTCTGCCAGCCATCTCCTGTGTGCTTTATGAATAATTTCCTTTTAAACTTTTTTAAAAAAGTATACACATGTGCAGTGTCTACCCTGATAGTCCTGGTTTCACTGTTGCCTTTCCCTTGGGGCTATTAGGAACAGCAGGTATTTCTGGCATCATCTTGGCCTTGACATGCCATGCTGCAATGAGGGCCAAGGGTCCTGAGGGCTTCAAAAATACTTAAGATCTGATTAGACTGTGGCAATTCTACAACATTGTTCCCTTATAGTGACAGGATGTAACAATTAATCTCAAAATGAAAATGTCCCTTTGTAGGAAAATTAACTAGCGAACAAAAATCACTGGAAAAATTATTCAAAATGAGCTAAATTTTAATGTGGTAAAGTTAACTGTTCAGGCAGTGGTAGAGTAAAATCATGTTCATCTATGTTTTATACATATCTCACAATAATATTCCTTTAGTCATCCTAGAGGGAGGCCCAATCAGTATAAAAACTGTGATCTATTAATAAAGGAACATTAGAGCATGATAATGACTTGCATGTTTGCCATATCTTCCATAGAGTTTTATCACACATCTATAACTTTATTTTGGTGTGTATTCAATCAGGCTCCTCGACCAAAGCTGTTGATTCTGAGCATTATCAACCTTCAAGTGTATATTACATTACCAATCTTTTTGGGCTTTTCTACCTGTTACATGCTCAGAGAACCAGACTCCCTCTTCCATTCATTGATTCTTCTCCATTCATAAGTAAGTCTTTTAACTTCTCGTGCATCTGTTGAGCCAAAAATAAAATTCCTCAGTGATGGAACTGTTTACTTTTGGATTTATGGAGCAACATAACTGGGCTCACACCTGTTGGAAAGGCGTTCATTTGGATGAGCTTCAAACAAAACCCAAGTTCACATTCAGCTCATTCGGAAGTTTTTAGTTGGAGGCAAGTGTGCCCTGGCCACGTGGACGGACAGAAGACCCAGATTTTATCAGTAATATGCCCTCCATCCGTTCCTCATGCGTTGGCGAGCACACACTACGCCTTGACAATGAGCCAGTCACTTCAAACACTTGGAGAACACAGCTGTGCATTTGTAAAAGTGCTTTGATCCTTTTGCAGACCCGCTTCTTTTATTTTTTCCTTCACTGATTCATCTGTAAATTTGTTTGCTCATGCGGTTTCCTTTTTTAGAATGCACATTAACATTCCTTAAACATTAAAGACAGTAAACAGACAATTACAAATACAATCTGCCAGAAGCAGATAAAAAGAGACTGTCGAGGGTCATCTTGTAGCTGGATCCAAATTGAGGATGCAGGAAACAGGAAATAAGCTCAAAACTCAGCTTCAATGCTGTAGGGAATACAGAAATCCAAAAACATTACAGAGCAGAACCAAAGAATCCAAATACCAGAAACTTTCTGGGAACACATGGCAAGGTGATACACAGCAATCAGGGACAACATAATAAAGGACAAAGGTAGATGTAGACGATAGACACAAGATAATGAGAGCGTGGTAACAGGTGTGAAAACAGCCAAGGACCTTTAACATAATGACACAAGAAGAAAAACTTGACACAAGACACAGAGAACAATGGTCACCAAAATAAAGCAAAGTGACCCACAACAGAACCGGGCGACAAGAATAAAGTGACACAACTAACAGGAGAACAAGTACGAGAAAAAGACAAATTCCGAGACAAGACTGAGAGAACCAAATGGGAATTATCTAATAAATGGCAAAATAAAACACATAGTATACATAATAACTATAAATAATACAGAACTGGAATATAAATCACATTTCAAAACCAAAAGAATCATTTATACAGTTCTCAGAACTCTGGGCCTCAGACACATACGGTTGGTGTAAATCTATGTGTAATGTATGTTGTCCTTTTGTTAGATCTGCTAATACTACTAATTGTATGTTTTAATAAATTCTGCTCAGTAACAGTAATTTGTCTTTTTAAAAAAATTCAGAAATGCTATCATGAAAGCCTTCTTAATGCCATTTATGGAAACTGAAGTTTGAAAAAAAGAATGTAAACTTGGATCATCTGTAAAGGTCTGATGTAAATATAGGATTTTCACATATTTCTTTATTTTCTATTTTCAGTGGGAACTCTACAAGTTTTAACAGCCCATCAGCTTCATCAAGTATGTACATTTGTCCATAAGAGATAGTGTTTCATATTTATTAACTGTTTCAAGATAGATCAGTACTGTATATTACACTGTCTTAGTGAACCTGTTAGGTATGGTGTCCAAGCACTCAACCATTCTGAAAATTACCTTAGGCCGTGCTCTCTCATTCATATTTCTCAGCTGTCTTGAGTATTGGAAAACTGAATCATAATCCTTACTATTCAGCTCCCCTACATATTCAGTTTGAACTTCCAGTATGTGAATATATTTACTAGATCTTTTTCTGTGTTAACCGTTAGAGGAAAAAGAAATAGGTGAGAATAGGTGAGAAGAATTGGTTCAAAGCTCAGAGCTAATTGCTAAACAAATGGTAATGCATGTGGTTGTTAGTTGCTCTTCCCAATTTTCTAACCTGGTTTGGTTCTGTTCTTTAATGGTGTATCATTTTTAATCCCAGGAAGAATCACCATCAGCCCTGGAGTGATTGATACCACCAAGGCTCGGGAATGCTACATATTGCAGGAAAAGCATGACAAGGATAGAGACAGATCCAGAGCGCATGGTCAAGATAAAGAGAACAAAAGAAGCAGAAATAGAGAGAAGGAGGGCTGCTCCTCTTCCTATTATAGGTTGGTCTATGTGAACTGATGATGATTTTATTTAATGTATGTGCTTCAGTTTGCGCTTTGCACTTAGCACAGTGTACTCTCTCCTTTTGTTCTTCCTTTCTCCACTGTTGGGTGCCTCTGCAGTAGTTGAATTTGAATGTCTGCTGTGCAGCTGTGGCCTTCTGGATTAGGCAACATATAATATATTGGAAGTAATCCAGATATTCATTCTCTCCTGGCCTTGTTCAGTATGTGTGCATTTGCAGCCTGCCTGCACACACACACACTGAGGGAGAGAGAGGGCGAGAGAGCGGGTGAGAGAGAGAATTTTGCTGTAGAGCAATTGAAAATTTTAGATGAAAGACAAAAACAGAACCAAAAAATGATCATGAGGTGCAGTGTAAAACTCTGTAGCTCTGTTTTTTTCAGGTTAGACCAGACAGGGACAAGATATTAGTGCAATATATGGTTGTGAAGCCGCTTCTGTGTTATGTTTGCTGTCTTAGATGGCAGAGAACCGAAGAACCAAAGTTGCTCAAGACAAGTGTTAATAAAAAAATACACTTTAAAAAAGAGTTGCTTTTATAGATTAATTAGTTCTCTAAATAATTAAGTTTGTGCTTGAAAATACAGACATAAACTACATTATTTTAGTGTTTGAACTTACCCAAAGATGTTTCTATTAACACAGCTAAAGGCATTGTATTTGTGAGTGGTTACCCTCTTGGCTCTACAGCTGATCGCTATAAAATAAACACACTATTGTGAGAAATGGCCCTAGTGAAGAAATGCATACTATTGCAAAAGAGCATAAGGCCATTGTGACAGAAATCAAGACTATTGCAAGACAAGGAAAAATTATTGCCAGCACAGGCATAACTATTTCAGTTTTTCTGGTGCAGTGAGATGAGGGAATAACTTGCTATATTTGCCAGTTATTGCCAGAGAAAGATTGAGTTTGCACTCCTCAGCATGGAAATTGTTTTTTCTCTCTCTCTCTGAGGCTCACAGCTGATCGGAGCCAGTATAATTTCCTCTCCAATTTTCACATAGTGCCCTACTACCCTATAGTGTGACAGCCTGAGCGCCTGCTGTACAAGCACTCATACATGCTAACATGTGAACAAGCCAAATCATGCCCTACATTTCTCAGTGTTGACCATTAGCCAAATTTCTATTTAATTATTATTAACTTAGATAGCTGTCAACTGTAATACACACACTCCTCAGCTGACCTGAAGCTCGTACTATAGGAAAAGGCAGGCTTATAGCATTGTTAGGTTGCGTGGGGTTTTACCTTCTGGAATAGGAATAGGTTCATGTACAGTTCTTTTCTAGTCTACCAGACATACAAGCACTCTTTCGTGTATTATCCACGTAAGTGCTTTCTATCTAACATTCACACACATTCATTGAGAACATCCTGGGGTTAGTAACTTGCCCAAGGATATTTGACATGACTGGGACAGTCAGGGGTCAAACCACCATCTTCCGATTAGTAGATGGCCTGCTATTGCTCCTGAGCTACAGCCAACCCCTTTTGCCTCTAAATACTTGAAACTACAAATATATGCAATACAGGTGAAATTCTTCTGTTTCTTTGGCTTCAAAAGCTGTAATGTTGTTGATAACAACAAATCCCTGCATCAGCTACTGTAAAAGCGTTGCTGGTAATTAACTTGCAATTAAAATAAGTGCAAAATAGCAAAAATGACAAGCTGAAGTATTTCTTACTGTACTGGGCTCTGTTAAAATATCCTTACATGCTGTTCTGTGCTGTTCAGCACTTTTCCTTACTTGAAGTGGTGAGCATTTCCTTGAGTGTTTATGCCCTAGATGTTTGAATTCAGGTTTATACATATAGCTCAAAGCAACATTTTGGGTCAAATAAGGGAAGTGGGACATGGGACAGATGGGAAGTTATAGGCTAAATGTAGAAGATCTGAAGAATGGGAATCACATGTGCATGACAGACACACAAGAGATTTAGAGTCATTCTACAGATTTGGTCCCAGCTGACAGGACTATTCCTTTGGCCCAGTGTGTGCTCCTCACACGTTAGTGGCTCTGCTGACGTTTTTGTCCTACATTCTGGTCAGATGATCAGAATTCAGATACACACACACACACACATGCATATGTACAAGTTCTATGTTTTTGTTACGCTGATTTATTACTGGGCTCTAGATTATTTTTAGAGTAGGCCCAGGGGGATTTATTGTTAGTGTGTGTGTGGGCAGGACAGAGAAGCAGATGGAGACCTCCATAGCTTTGCTAGCCATCCTTATTGTTCACTGACTAAGTCAGTGGGAGTGTTACATGTATGTGTTATTCATTTAGAAACTAGCTAGCCTATTTGTCCTTTGCTTACTCATGCACACAGGCAAAGTGTGGCAAGAGGTTTTCTAAGTATCAGCTACTGGTTATTAGCTGTGACTGTGACATCATGCCTCGGATTTAACCCCACTACTAATAGATTCCACAAGGCTATTGTTCACCAGTACATTTATTCAGACCGAGTGATATATTGTACTTTTCAGGCACACATTCAGTCTGAGTAACTGATTGGCCATTTGGTCAACACTTGCCCCCTAACTGTAAATTTTAGCTTTGGATGATAAACGTAACTTTTTCCAGCTGGCAGTACCTCAGATATTCTTCATTTCCTTCATGCACACATATGCCCGACCTTGCACAACACAGTGACGAATTGCAATATCCTCTTTTTTTGACATCAGTTCACACAAGGCATAGATCTAATACCTCTTGGATAATTCGATCAAACCTGGATAATAACGGAATTAAGAAATTCTAGTGTGATAAGGAAATTAAAATGATAATTATCTTCTATTAGGTTGGATTAAAAGCATCATTATGCTCCAAGACTCGTTTCAGCGTTAACAGAGGGTATGGCTCACATTTTATTAAAAAGGAGCTAATAGCTGAAAAAAAAAGGTTTGCTGGTATGTTGTGCAACCAAATCAGGCTATTGCTAATTCGGAACAAAACTCCTGAAAGCTTAGCACGTTATTACCTTTGCACTTAATTTATTAGTTGAATTATTTAAAGAATAACATTTCAAAATTACCAAAGTTTTGCCTGTGTTAGGGGGAAACAGTTTTTTCATGCAACTTCATTTTCATCATTTTTGAAACATCAGATTTGGATTTAGAGGTTAGAGCATAGTCTAAATTCCCATGTATTTCTTGATTTTCCTCGGCTACTCTTGTGCCTGATGCCACACTTATCCTGGCCTCAGGGTCGGTCTTGGGGCCTGGACATTCTTTCACCTACATCTGTTTTTACTTTCCTTTCACCAAAGTTTTTTTTATTATCTCTTAGTGTGACATGTTTTTGTCTTTCTCTTTCAGTATCATTCAAGAAACTAATTTCTTTCCCAGAGCCGGTGCCTGTGCCAGATAAATTTTAAAATTACTTCTACATTGTTTGCCTGTCAAGTTTCAAGTTTCAAGTTTTATTGTCATGTACAGATAACAGTGTAGCCACATTTATCCATAATGAAATTCTTTGGCTTGTGCTCCTCAGCTTTACATGAGCATATAGAGAGTGTGCAGTTATATTGAGAAGAAAATAACAGAAAATAGCAGTTTATTAGTAATAAAATAATAATAATAATAACAACAATAAAAAAAGAGAGGAAAAAGTATTAAATATTAAAGAATTTAGTTGGTATTTACATTTAAGGCAAGTTGGTATTTACAAGTTTGTGCAAGAGTATCTGCAGGTTGTACAAAGTTGTGCAGTGAGCATTTAAGTAGCATTTGTTGAAGTGACAGTGTGCAGAGTCCTGTAATTGTAGTGAGTGTGTAGTGGTGTGTATGGAATGTCAGCAGTTCAAAAGTCTGATAGTTTGTGGTTAAAAACTGTCCCTGTGTCTGGTAGTGCGGGTCTGGATGCTCCTGAACCACTTGCCGGACGGCAGGAGTGTGATAAGTCTGTGGCTGGGATCAGAGAGGATCCGCTGTGTCTTCCTCATGCAGCGCTGTGTGTAAAGATCCGGTATGGTTGGCAGTTCAGTCCTGGTGATGCGCTGTGCTGATCTCACCACCCTCTGCAGAGCTTTGCGGTCCAGAGCATTACAGCTGCTGTACCAAGTGGTGATGCAGCCAGTCAGAATACTTTCAATGGTGCATCGATAGAAGTTTGTAAGTATTCTCGGGTTCATGCCGAATCTTCTCAGGCGCCGCAAGAAGATCACACCAACATGGTGTGACCAGCTCAGATCCTCGCTGATGTTGATGCCCAGGAATCTGAAGCAGCTGACTCTCTCCACCTCTGCTCCTTCGATGTGGATGGGGGGTGTGGGCTCCTCTCTGCAGTCTCCTGTAATCCACGATGAGCTCCTTGGCTTTGCTGACGTTAAGCAGCAGGTTGTTGTCGCGGCACCATGATGTCAGGGCTCTCACCTCTGCTCCAGTGTCTCTGCACTCCCCGTGCTCACTGCTCTCTCTCGTCCCACATTCCTCCTGAGGGAAAACAATAGAGGCAGCCATTAACACACTTTATCCCAGCAGGCATACACTCACAGACTTTCCGACTACGCTAGAAGACTGACGTGAAGTCAAACGCAATAATCCAGCGTCGGTGGAAGCTCCATCGCTCTTCTAAATAGCTCCCCCGACGAGCCCAGATGAGGAGCAGGTGTGTAGCAAGGACTTCGGGTGTGGCCAGTCCTCAAGCCAGGCCACGGCCTGAAGGTGCCTGTAACTTCGCCACAGAAAACCGCAACACACACACACCTGCCTACATACAGATGCGGACAGAGACCAGTGGCAGAGCAGACGACACACCAAATGAGAATAATAATAATAATAATAATAATAATAATAATCACAACAACAACAATCATAGTCCCCACTGCTCACGGACTCCGAGTCCCCAGAGCCGGTCTGTGACACTTTTAAACAACCTAATCTTTGACAAAACAGTTGCACAGTCACTCAATCATTTTGAAACACTGCTCGACACTTTGGTGAGCAGGATACCCGGATGTTTTTATTGTTTTAGTGTGTTTTTTAGTGCATATTTATTGTTGACTGGTTATTGTTAATTATGTATATTTTAGCAATTTTGGCATGAAATTTAAAATTTTAAATGTGCTATAAAAATTTGACTTGACTTTAACTTACATACTTCTAGATGCAGGCACTATAATATTGGCTATAACTCATAGTGACCGTACAGTTTTTTATGTCTTTGTTTTAGGACTTTCACTCATTGCCAGAAACACTTGTGTGCTTGCTTGCTGTATATTAGCTGATCGAGTCATTGCATACTAGTTATATTTTATGAAACATACATGTTTCTCACATACAATTTATTTAGTCTTAGATTTATACTCCAATGATTGTAAAATGCACTGACCCTGTCTTTGTTCTCACATACTAATATACAAAAACTGAATAAGGTGAGATTAGAAAGGGTTAGAAGAACATAGCGTTTTACTATTTAAATGAGTCTGATTTGATTTGTGCCTTTTATATGAACCTGTGCAGAAGTAGAGCATAAAACCCAGAGTTAGTCAGCTAATTACTCATTTTATACCACCGGTTATCTAGCAGAGAACATTGAACCAATCCTACATGTCAGTTAATCCAAAACAATGTAATTTACCATAATGAACATATGTAGAAAATTAAAAATAAGGACAACTCTTTCTACCTAAATATCAAATTTCTAAAAAGTGTGTGAGCTTAACACTATGTATAAATTCTGCTATGTGACCTTGATACAAAGAATCTACATGTTAATCAGCTCTAATATGCAAAAGTCCGGCATGTTTATCACAAATTCAAATAGAAGACGTGAGTTTGACAACCCCAATAAAGACTGCATTATTTGGCCATGATTGTGTTTTAAATGATAATTACTACAAAAGAAAAAACAAACAAATTTCTTTTTCACTGCAAAGCAGTCATCCCTTGCTATACAGGTTGTGTTAATTGAAAAATTGTACTTTGTGTCCACAACACCACTCTCTGAAGAATCAGGGTTTCTCAGTCAGGTTGTGAATTCTACGGTAGTGCTCATCCGGTCAAGCTTGAGCACTAATTTTGAATAAAATAATACTAAAAAATATATGTGAAAGGAGGCTTTTATGCTATAATTTACTCTTATCAACACTGTTTCCTCTGGAGTCATTTGAGTGTGTTTATGGTATTATGTGTGGTGAGATGTTTCTGTGTTAAAACTAATGGCTTTGAGCAAGAACAAATGTGGGCCTAGAGTCCTAGTCCCTGCTGCTAACACAAGAGCTGTCTACAAATATTGAATATATTTAGCTTTTTACTTGCAACAGTTGCCCCTTAAGGCTCTCTCTCTCTTTCTCTGTGTTGTTCAAGTGAATGATAATAATTACTCCAGCTATGTGTGAGCACACTGTCTGCATAAGCAGCGCATCATCTGTACTTTTCTATAGACTTTTTGGAAAAACGGGACGTGAACAGTGCCTTTAGTCTGATGATTCTTAAAGGTCAGGCTGATTATTTTAAAATTACAGACTATTGCTGTGCCAAGGTGGCGAGATGAGCAAGTTAGATAGAGAGGGGAAAATTTATTTTAATACACTACTCATTCACTCTTAGCAGTGGGTAAGATTTCCACTGTAATAAAACTAATGGTGCTGGCAGACTGAAAGATGTAGAACACTGAAGCAGAAGGAAAAGATTTTATTTACAGAATTCTAAAATAGGAAACAATGTTTCTTTGAAGGCAGAGAACTAGTTGGTCTCTGTCTGATAACATAGTTGCCATTAAGGTGGGCAAGTAATTGGTGAGGATCCAAAGACTTGATGCATAGAAAGCTTGCTGGTAAATATGGAAAACCAAGAGCAGACAGAAAACCCAAATATAATTACAATAAATCAGTCCTGATATTCGGTAAACTGGTGACTGGGAGAGGAAAAAAATGTATGAATATGAGTATATATCAGAGACCATGTAAAATAAAAATACAGTAATGAAGAATATTTCAACATTGCTGAGTTAATTCATGTGGTGGAATATAGAAAAAGAAGAAGAAGAGGCAATGAAAGCACAAGATAAAATTCAAACAATCAAACAAAATCATACAAATTTAATTTGGAGGAGAGAAAAAAATATGTATCCACATAAATGTAAAAACATAATGATTAAGAAACTATGTTGGAGCTAACCCATGTTGGGTATAATGTGTTAGAAAGTAACACGTAAAATTTTTTCAGAAATGGAGTAATGTAACAAGTTACTGCAATTCAGTAATCACATTACAGTTCCAATTATGTTGTTACTTGCATTATAAAGTTATAAAGTTATCTGCATTCAGGACCGATAGAAAGACAGAAAACATCAAACGTCTATTTCTACGTACTTGTGTTACAGTCAGCCGATATTGGTTCATGTGCAGGGAGGCAGAAAATGATGCATGGGTCTACAAATTTTGATGAATGGAGATATGGACACTACTTTTATTTTTATTGCATGAAAAGACAAGAGCATAAAGGTAAAGTGGAAACTGCATCCAGGACAGAAACAGCTGCATTTTACTTCTAACTCAACATCGCCACTTTGGAAATATCTGCACAGACAGCATGCTAACACAAAGCCAAGAGCCCACATTGATGTTAAAGCTGAGTGTATGCCAACCTTAGTGCAGCGGCATGTTTTTGAGTACCAATACCTTCACTGGTGTGGATGATTTCACAGCTGTATTTAAATGAATTATAACTACTCCATAACTTCGCCTCAGTGGCCGTCTTTGCTACGTCTTTGCACCCAAACGCACTTTTCTTGCCACTCAGTCCACATTCTTTCATGATGCTTTCAGGTATCTGAATAATTTATCACTCAATGTTCTTCCAAACACTTCATTGCAGTAGGCAAAATCCTCCAGTGTTTTCCTTTCTTATAAGTGGCAAGATGATGAGTTGAGGTACATTTGCCACTTCTGTTGATTTGTTCTAATAGAAAATACGTTTTCTCGCATGAACACTATCTGAGACTAATATCATCTGAAAATTATTCATGTCCCTCCATACTATGACATTGGATCAAGGAAGAGCTTTTCAATTTGTTAAATGCCCCTGGCCTTAAAAGAGCAACAACAATTTTTAGCATGGTTTCTTGCATTTTTGCTGTGAACTGAATTACAAAATGAGAAACTATGCTAGCAGCTTAACCCATTGATATTTACAACCAAGTCAAGTTACTTGAAAATAGTAATTAGTTACTAATTACTGATTACTTCTCCAAGAAAGTAATCCTGTTACTATACTAATTACTTATTTTCAAAAGTAATTAGCAACTTTATTACTTAGTTACTTTTTAAAAACATAATCCATCATATAATATTGAACCAAATGAAAAAGCCTCTTTTTTTTGTTTTATTGGTTTTATTCTTTTAACTACATGCACATTGCATCAAGCAAAAATTTAATTGAATGCAACAGTCTCTGAGTGGAGATTATTTGTTTAACATTTAAACCTATTTTCTGCATATTCCAGCATATAAAAAAAAAACTTTTTTTTTTGTGTTTACACTCACTCTTTCAAATAGATGCAAGTAAAACACAGCAAAAATGTGCCACAGCGGTCATGTCACTGGGGGGATCTGGGTGTTCCTCTGTGAATTTCACATTGCTGTGGCAGCGTGATAGGTGCTTGCTCAGATTTGAAGTTTAATTTTTCGCTGTAGAAAGAAATTTTCTTACCACGCAGAATGTACAGGAGATGCTAATGTTCTTGTCACTTTTTACAGAATCAAACTTAAAGTAATGTCAGTACTTCCAATCTTTAAACCCTGCATGGTTGTACTCTCTCCCGCACTTTATATTATCCATTGTTAATCTACACACGTCTGTTGCACACGTCGCATGTTCGTACATCATTGTCATGAGACACTCTCACAAACAAACTCACGGTTTAGTAACGCAGCATGTTTATGGGAACGTAACAGTAATCGAATTACTTTTTTGCAATAGTAATCCCTTACTTTACTCGTTACTTGAAAAAAGTAATTGGATTACACTAAGGTGTTACTGACCATCCCTGATAACAACAGAGGAATTTCTCATCATTTTTCAGTTGTAAGCAGTGTTCTAGGTGGTTTGACCGACAGTTTAACAAGCTGCCAGCATAATGGGATAAAATCCATGACATCAAATATTACAAAACAGAGCCATTACATTGGTCCAAAGATGTAATGGCTCTGTTTTGTAAGTACCACAATAAAATAGGTTTACTGGCCAAAAAAAGCAGTGCGTAAAACATGTTTAAACATCCTTTTTTCAGGCATTTTTAGCTATTTTTAATAGGATATTTAGTACCTAGAGAGAAAATCATGCAGAGAATTGGAGAGTGACACGCCTGGATCAGCTTTTTCCTGGTCTTTAAGGTACTTCAGGGTGCTCAGTGTAGACACAGAAAAGACCATCTCACTCACTTATAGAACCATTGGACTATAAATTTTAAACCATACATGTTTGCAGCTGCTTTGTCCAATATGTCTCCAGTGCTGGTTTAGACTGATTTCACCATGTTTTTGCATGTGTGTTTCCAGAGGTCATATGAACACTAGAATTTAAAACTTATAGGTAACTGCAGTGTGGATGTGTGGCTTTTATGTAAAAGGCATGCTGTGACACTTGTATTGGGCTCTTTGTTACTCAAAGTGGAAGCCGGGGGGAGGTTATAAAAGCTAACACAGTGGTTACAGTTTTAATCCCTTGAGTCATGACTTATCTCTCTTTCACTGGAGCAAGAGAGCAGCAGTCTTCCTGTGGGTCAACAGGCCTCCCCCCCCCCCCCCCCCCCCCCCTTTTGTGTTATGTCCCAATGAGAAACTCTCAAGTTTTATCAGTAAGTAATGTAAGAATAAAATAAAAACCGTTTTGTTTTCTGCAACAGGGAAGCGCAAATGAAGCTCAGGGAGCCTAGGAACCAAGGGTACAAGTATCGCTATGACAGAGGCAGTGGAAAAAAGAGAAAGAGCAACAAAGATGGATCACGAAAAAGATCAGAAAGGTCTAATGAGAAACAAGCGCACTCACATATATGTAAAAGGATGAAAATACTAGAACTAACCTTAATGATCATTATCTTGTGTCTTCAACAGCAGCAGTGTCAGGAGCAGCAGAAGTAGCAGAGATGTTGGTGGGAACAGGGACAGGAGACACAAACAGAAAAGAAACAGAAAAGCCAAGACATGTAGGAAGAACAAGGAAACCAGCAAGTAGTTCTCTCCTAACAAAAAAGGAAATTAAAATCTGACTGACTTTCAGTCTCCCAGCCTGATTAACAGAGAACAGCCCTATGGCCTCTTACATTATATTGTTTTGGAAAATTAATTAATAGATAACATCATTCACAAATTAATATTTTCAGTAGTTATAATTTATTTAAATTAATAATTTTATTTGAAAAACTAAGGATAATTTCATGAATGTTTAGTACACTATGCTTTCATTGTTTCTTTTTCTGTTGATTTTCTTCAGATGAAGGGAATGTATACATGTAGCTTTGTGAATCCCGGGTGATATGCTTTTAATCATCTTTGTCACAGCAACCAATTTTTCAAATGATTTTATTGATCAGTTAACCAAATGTACCATCAGATATACTACACAGGCCGAAGCGTGACAGATAGAACTGCAGTAGATGGGCCTCAGCCCTTCCACTGATACACAGAAACCAAGTCATTTTTTTCTTAAATGTAAGAAAATTAGTAAGGCCTCCACACTGTTATCTAATTAAATATCTTTTAACATGTTATGAACACATTAATCCTTTATTTTTTCATATATTTTCTTTGCCAGTGGTTTGATAGTTTAGCCATAGCTTCTGACATAACATAAAAAACCTCACAGACTACTACTTGGCAACGTGTCTTCAGATCAACAGATGAAGATGACAACCACTGTCAGTACAAACAGAATAAAGCCTACATTAAAAGGCCATACAACAAACAAACAAAATAAACATATTACAAGTGCTTGGATCTTTTTTAGACACCCAACAGTTACAGTAGAGAAATGTGAGTCCAACTTAACGCATATCCTAACATATAACTACTGGAATTGGCAACATGTTGTGTCTCCTGTCGGTACTCCCACTCGATGCCAGAGAATGATCATGTCCTCTAAACTGATAACACCCAACATCTTAGTTAAAAGTGTCTCAAGCCTGGATCCTCCCAGTTCAGCGTTTTCTGAGGGGCACGTTAACCTCTGGTAACAATCCAGTCTTATGTCCTTCCCCCTCCAAACTCCTGCCGAAGTCACGGCTGTCCATCAGACGTGAGGTATCCAAACAGCTACACGACTATTCTAAGCTTCTCCCTCACAGCAAAATTAGGTAGTCAGCCAGACTAAAGCTCTGCCTTTGACATTCCTTGGTCACTGCCACCGAAACAGTGCTGGATGGCTTAAAGCACTGCTACAGCAGGCTACCAGGCCAGGACACTATGGTCAGGGTGATTCTGCCACGGAGCTCCTTCAGAAGGCGAACCAGTGCTGTGTGTGTCATCCCCCAAGTACTCTTTCCATTCACCTCAAGCAGGATGTCCCCACACCTACACAGACAGAGAAATGGGAATTGAAAATGATCTTCTTTGACTTCTAAAACATTTTGCCCATGGGCAATTGTGGAAAAAAAGTGATATGCAACGAGCAGATACCTTATCCTGCCATCATTGTAAGCTGGTGTCCCCTCCACAATCGAGCGGATGAAAAAGGATTGATTGCAGTTGACCTCTTCCTGACCTCCAACAATACTGAAGCCCAGGCTGCCCGAAGTGCTCCGCCGCAGGACGATGTCTTTGCAGCAGTAGAGATGCCTGCATGAGCCAAGAGGGAGATTAATCACACTAATCTCTCAACGGCATCTTTAGATTACACATACTGTGCATCTATACTGAGCATGTGTGCTGTAGATAGAGTGCTGAAATGAGCCCCACTCTAAAGAGAAAGGCCTGGCTAACCTTTGAATGCAGGTGTGATTTGGACTTTGTATCAGTAGTGCACCAAATCACAGTCCAAAGCTAAATTTTCACTGTGACTTAGTGCTTGGTTTCTTTGCATCTCTGTTTCATCATACTTTATAAAACTAGGAGCAGCAGTTGTTTGTCGTTATCAGTACACAGCTGTCTTTCTAACACACCTTCTAAATTCATATGCTAGGAACATAGAGAAAGTTTAACTGATATCTTAGTGGTAAATATTTAAGCTGAAAGGTTAGTTTTAAAAGTATAATGAGCATTCCTTTCCCAGCTGGCTTTGTCAAAATTTCAGTTGGCACCAGCTGGCAGAGGTCACAAGGACCGGTGTGACGGGTTTAATTTATACTGGCCTCAGAAAAAGCATACAATTGTACATGGAGATGATGCAAAGGCAGCAGTGGGTACTCTACCTGGGTAGCTGCAGCCATGACACCCACAGTGGGGAGTAATCGTCATTAGGCACCGGGCTCTTGATGCTGTCTGTAGGTGATGGCGTAAGACAAGGTGGCAATGTGCAATCTTGCACAAAGTCCTCTGGAGGACGCATCTCCAAAACCTTGAGCACAACAGGAGAGGAGGTGTTCTTCAAATTCGCCACGGCCTCACCTCGTGTTACCCCCGTCAAATCCATGCCATTCACATTTAACAAAATGTCACCTGCAGGGGAAGATATAGACAGCACAACTCAAGCTCTGCCTGGGGCTGATACCCTCATAACAGCTTAAAACAAGACGTGGGACACATCATCTGCCTATTTAATATTCATCAACCTCCACGCTAGAAGACAAAGAGATGGAAACTAAGCACCACCTGTGCTTTAAAAAGCCTCCTAGTGATGAAAGTGGTGCAAAGATAAATTGATAATCGCAGAGTCCATCTTGCTAGTAAGCAGCTCAAAGGACACATTTGCCCTGTGAGGATATGCAAATACAAATTAACACTCCATTACAAAACGCAAACATGTTTCATAACCGTACAAAAGGAGACAGCTGCTGCTGCTCTGTCCCTTATGAATACAATAATGTGCACCTTGAACCATGAATAGGACAACAGACTCAATTTACTTCTATTTTTATTAAGCCTTCATACTGTACTTCTTATCACCCATCTCAGCATTTCTCTCAATCCTCTCATAACCAGAGTTTAAGGCATTGAGATTGAGAGTAATGAAAGGCCTAATATGGTTCTATTTTAAGGTGAATATGCAGGAATCAGCATTTGGGGCTAAAAATCTTCCACTCTCCCTGCCTTCAGTAGCATTACAGGATTTTAAGGCTGCTGCTCTTCCATACAGCTATTGCGTGTCTCTTCATGTTTTGCTGGTTCAGTCTTGACGAATTTCATGTAGCAAAATAATTAGATACTTGACAAATTCTCTTCTGCATTGCAATTGGAGTACAAGTCTCGAGCACTGCTATGCTAATGTTTGTTTGTGTTTTTGTTTAAATCTCTTAGAGCCAATTTGCGGAGCACTGAACCACAGCAGCACCAGAGTTTTCTGTTGCATGAATAACCTTCATAATGAAACATGAGCCTTAAATGTTCATCAATCACCTCATCTGTTCGTTACAAGTATTCATCACCAAACCCACATAAATACTGACAGAATTTTTATGCAATGAAACTCATGCTTAATCCACTATATGAGTAATTATTTGCACAGATTACAGACATCACATTTCTTCTGAAATACATGAGTAATATTCTAATGATTACATAATTAGATGACAACTCATTTTACCTTTGCGTATGGAGCCCTCTTGTCCCACCACTCCATCAGGGTCCACATTTGTAACGTAGATGGGGAGGTCCCACCCTCGGCTGGACATGCCGCCCGCCACTGTCATACCCAGAGAGTCATGCGGCTCCTTATTTAGACTTACTGTCTTCTCATAACATGCAGGCTTTTGACAAGAGTCCTTTACAGGAGACAGAAAGCAGACAGACAAATAGTTGAAGTAAAGAGTTTTTTGTAAAGTGACTGATTTTAAAAACAACCAAGGTTGTTTTTTATTCCTTCCCCTAATATCCCGTTTTCTTTTCCAACTGTGATGTTAATGGACATACCACACATTCAGAACTGATGCTGTCACTGTGGTGTTTTGAGTGTCCGCATGCACCGTCACTCCAAACATAATAATGACTTACACCAAGGGCATCTTAAATAAATTATATAATGTAATTAGATTTAGATGTAGTGCATTTGCATAATAATGAGGAGCGTTTTCTGTGAGACTTGCAATAATGGTAGAAGTCACATGAATGCCACCCATGCTGGGTTATGGGAACAAGAGCCCAATAACATAGACACAGTTAAAAGCTGATTGATGAATGACCTCGTCAGCATAATTGGTTAATGTATAATATATGGTGGTTATTATGGTAGAACATTAGGCAGCTCAAGTGCCTCCTCAGTCTTTGTCCATGTTGAATGCAGAGATTCATACACAGAGTCGTGATGTGTTATTTGATGTTTTGAACGAGGCATCGCATGGGATAAAGTGAATGAGGTTTTATTCATAGCAAGTGTGTGAGTCATATGAGGCAGAGTTGAATACTAATGAATAACACATGGACACACTGTGTTATTCATTGGTGGGATGTAGCTGGTCCTGCTTTGCTAATGTGCCACATTCACACGTTTTAGCTGCACTCACAACAAGAGATCACTTGACTGACCTTATGGCATGACAGTGCAAAAACTGAACACATTACCTGGCTTTCATATTAAAGCACTGTCAATTCTGTCTGTTTTTTCCCAGATTATTTGATGGCTTTTGATGAACAATAATGCTGTGTAGTGAGCAGAGTTTGTTACCTCCCAGCACAGCGAGCTCACATAAGATATTTTGTCATCTCTGTTCTTTATGCTTAGCCAAGCAGCTAGCTATTTCGTGTGGTGATTAAAGAACAACCACCTGGAGTTCAAAAGAAGGATTTCTTCTGTGGCATGCCAGTTATTTTTACCAGGTTTGTTTTAGGCAAAATGCTGGATAGTTGTTAAATAGACTGGCTTATCAGTATGTACACAACTTAAAGAAGAATTTAGAAGCTGGTGCAATCAGTGTGACATGACCCACTGGTTAGTGGGCAATGTGCAATCTTGAAGCTTCTGGTTGAGCATTTTGCTCAATCCCATCTTGGTGTTTTTAAACCTGATGTGACAAGTAAAGGCTGAATAAGTAGCTTACAGACACTGCATTCATACAGTGTTAACCTAAAGCACATCCTGATTTATGAATATTTTTTACACTACTGGAGTAATAAAACAAAAAGACT